ATTCCAATACTGATGCTACACGCCGAGCACCGCCTCATGCAACAAATAGTCCGCCAAGAGTTTTATATTCCCCGACTTAAGCCTCAAATAAAGAAGTGCATTTACATGTGCAAAGTTTGCACAACGTACAAGCAAAAATGCGAACGCAGATAATGGCAGCACTTCCACCTGAACGCTGCAATTTTGCTCTGCCCTTCACAACAACAGGTGTCGATTTTGCTGGGCCTTTCCAGATAAAGGCTTCAATGTTAAGATCTCCCACTTTAATGAAAGGCTATGTGGCAGTTTTTGTTTGTTTACGACAAAAGCTGTTCACCTGAGCTATGTACAAATCTGACGACAGAGGCTTTTCTCGCGGCATTCGCTCGCTTCGTCGGACGGCGTGGTTTCCTCAAAATAATGAGTGACAACGGCAAACGTTTATTGGAGCCAAAAGAGCCACTGAGAAACAGTTTGTGGACTTTATCAAACAAGTCTCACCTGAGATTGTACAGAAGTACGCACCCCAAGGCATTAATTGGCAGTTTATCCCCCCAAGCGCTCCTCATATGGGTGGTTTATGGGAATCAGCTGTAAAAGCTTCAAATCCCACTTCAAAAAGTAGCTGGAAACTACAAGTTTAATTATGAAGAATTCTCGACCTTATTAATTCGAATTGAAGCCGTACTCAATTCACGGCCAATCACAATCCTCTCGCAAGATCCTCCGATTTCACCGCCCTAACTCCTGGGCATTTTCTCAAAGGAGCACCCATTCTGGCCATACCTGAGCCAGACGTGAGTCGCTATCCTTATTAAACCGATGGAAAGAATCAAAATTCTCCATCACAATTTTAGCCGCCGATGGAAAGAAGATTATCTAAAGGACCTCCACAAGAGGTACCGCTGGAAAGCTCCAGAAAAGGCGCCGAAGCTTGGAGATTGCGTGCTAGTACACGATGATTGTCTCCCCCCTACCGAATGGCGGCTTGGCCGCATAGAAAACCTTCACCATGGTTCCGACGGTCACATCCGAGTAGTCGATCTCCGTACGCAAACCGGAACACTAACTAGACCGCTCGTAAAGCTATGCTTTTTACCCACAGCCGATAATACCGAACAAACGTAAATAATAACCCGATAAGAACCAAAAACCGCTAAAATTAATAAATCAAAAACCTAAATCCGGTAAAGGTCGATCGAACAAACGACCCATTTATGCCACTTAACGTGGCCCAAATTTCCAACACAAGCATGCGACAAACTTATAATCTAAATAACTTTTTTCCCATATAGATCATTATGGACGGAAATGCACCAACACCAACGCCAGCAATACGTTCGGCCGTTAATGTGCCACGCCCTGGGGCAAATCCTGCACCCCGAACTACGGCTACCACAGCCCCTCCAATCGCTCCAAGTAGTGGCACGCGGCCACTACCCCCGTCAACATCGCTGTCCGCGGAGCAGCACCGCCTCCGATGCCCGCTATGTCGTCACCCACACCGGTTGCAACATTGCGGCATATTTAAAGGTATGCCACCAGTCCAACGACAGCAAATCGCCCAGGCACATGGACACTGCCTGAATTGTCTGGCGCACACCCATGCAACAACCGCATGTGAGTCAAGGGGGCTTTGTCAGATGTGCGGTGAGCAACATCACACACTCCTTCACCGTACCGCGAGGCGCGACAATGGTCGACTAACTGCCTCCCATCGCCGCGGCGTAGTCAGGCGACTCCCAAGGCAGGCATCAGCACGACCCCGCCGATCGGCACCCCCTCCGGAGCCACGTTCCTGGCGCCCACGCCACGACGCAATTACGCGCCGTAGTCAGCTTAGGCCACAACCCCGCCGTGCCACTGGGCTGAGCAGCGTCGTCTACACGCTGCAACAACTTCAGCGTCTGCTAGGCTAATATTCGCCTAGGGGGGCCGGGATGGCTAAATGAGCCTACGTCGTCCCGAAAACCTACACCAACACACCTCACACATCACTGACACGCAACATTCACCACATCACCTCTCGCAACATTCACCACCTCACCTCACGCAACATACACCTCACACAACGACACTACCACCCAGGATACACAACACACCAGGCGATCACCCCACCAACCATCAACAAAAACCACGGACACTCGAAGCGGCGGCACTCTTTTGCGGATCGAAGTCGAAGCGGACACCTCGTCAACGTTGTATTCCCGTCGCAATATAATACATCAGCGGACCTGAGCCGGACAATCCATTTTTTCTCTGTACACATTTACATTTTTTATACATTTTCTTTGCGCTGCGTCGCAAGTGTTTTGGTTTTATTGAGTGGCGTTTAATATTTTAAAACAAAAAATTAATAAAACTGTTGCATTTTTAACACAAAGGAAGTGGTGAGTGTGATTTAATTCCAAGAGGTTGGAATAAAATTATATAACTAGTGTTGACAAACAGGCACATACCTCTCGAAATAAGTATGCAAACGACTGCGGATATTCTAAAGACACAAAAAGCAGTAAAAGAGGGTACAAATCCAGCACGCCGCAGGAAAGGCAACGAAAATAACTTCCCCTCTGCAGACTAATGGCCAACATAGGGGGACCCAGCCAAGAAAAGAGAAAGCTCCTAATGTCCACGCCCATCAGCGTCCTATTATACGTAAGGTCCCTCCAAAGCGTAAGGTATTTTCCAAAGTACACCGCACTGCAGCCCCAGAGTTGCATCAGCTTACGGAACAGTGTCAGGCCATGTAATATTAGTTATAAGCGGTAATATCCCAATTAACCTCCTGGCATACGAAAGGAAAAAGCTGTGGGAGCTAAAGAAAACATCTCAGAATAATAAGAGGGCAATCGAACAAATAAAGAAAGATACGATGTCAGCATGGCAACAAAGATGGGAGAATGAGAGAACCGGCAGATGGACGGCCAGACTCATAAAAGATGTAAACTTATGGCCAAGCCGGAAATTTGCAGAAGTCGACATCTGCAAGTCACAACTGCCATCCGGTCACGGATACTTTAAAAAGTATCTCCACAGAATGATAAAAGTCGAAGCGCCGTCATGCCCATGCAACGACGCGACGGAAGACGGCGCTGAAAACACATTCTTACACGCGATTACAGGGTGGGCGACGGTTCCCTAGTGACCTGCAAGCGGGACACACCGCCCTCACCCGCAAAAAAAAAACACTGTGTACTAGAGCGGAACCGAGAATTTTATACTCTTGCAATACGCAAGAATCAAAGGACAGGAAATTTCTTCAAACCTTATATTAAAAAAAAATTGAGAAAAAATAAACATCCATTATTAAATGAAATCGTGATTAAATTACAATTAAATTTGGTATCTTCTTGACTTATATTAAAGGCCATAAACTAAGTCTCAGTTTTATTGCTATATTTTAGTTCGCGTCAGCGAAAATTATATACAAAAAAAAACAAAAAACATATTTAAGTGAGATATACGTAAGTATTAACTCGACCAAAGTGGCTAAATTTTATATTATAAGCTTGTTACGGTTTATAGTCAGGTGGAAAAATGGAGATCATATATTATATATATATTTGATAGAGAAAGATATAAATTTTGATATTGCTCGAGCATAGCGAACATATTTTGAATCAATTTTATATATAAAACAAAATGTTAATACTCACTGACTCACATATTCGGCATAAAACTGGTTAGAATAACGAAAAGTATTATAAGTAGTATATGGAAGTAGAGGGTAGTATTAACCCGATTTTATAAATTTTCGCTAATACTATATACTACTAACATGCCACAGATTAATAAAATGCTCCCACTGTTTCATTACGGTACCTCACATACCCTCACCAATCGTATGGAGTAAAGACGAATGTTCGAATATCCTGATATTAGTTACAGAAGGATATTAGTTACAGGAGTTAGGGGATTGAAAAGTTTTGATTCGATTTAGACAATTCTTGGTCACAAGATGGCATACTTTAAAAGCATTATTCACGCAAAGTTTTACCCCGATGGAATCATTGTTGCTTGATTTGCCTAGTGGAAAGTGAAAGAATCAGATGGAATTTAAAATGGTGTTATGTGGGAAATAGGCGTGGATGTAATACGATTTCGCCGATTTTCGCATTATAACATAGAAATATGAAAATAATTTTGGACCGAATTTTGTTGAAATCGGTTACGCAAATCTCACGATATGGGTTTTCACCTAAAAGTGGGCGGAACCACGCCCACTTTCTAATTTTGAACGCGGTTCCTATAAAGTCATCTCATACCATCCCAGAGATGATGTTTAATGTCTCTGGCGTGTTGGTATATGACCATCGGAATCGTAATGTAGTTTTTCTTTACGGCCAAGCCACCCTTCTGTGGGGGGTACACAATCATCGTGTATGATGACGCAGTCTCCAAGGTTTGGCGCCTTTTCTGAAGCGAGCAAGCCTACTTAGTCAGATTCATACATAGCTCGAGGTGCACTGCTTTTGTCGTAAAATAGACAAAGACAGCCAAGTAGCCTTTAATATGGTGGGCGACCTTAGCATGGGTGCCTATATTTGAAAAGACCCAGCAAAATCGACACCTGTAACTGTGGGTGGAAGTGCTGCCATAATCTGCGTTCGCAACTTCTGCTTATGCAGAGTGCAGATCTTGCACATGAAAATGTATTTTTTGTTTGGGCTTAAGTCGGAGAATATGGAACTCTTGGAAGACCATATATATATAATGGCCATGGATATAATTGAGGAGTAAAGTGGCAGTCGAGACTTCTCTGGTATGATTAGAGGATGTCGTTCGTTATACGTAAGGCTTGAATTGGCAAGCCGACCATTCGCACGAAGTAGACCTTTCGTGTATAGGAATAGGTTAAGAACTAAGAATGAACTCCTTTTGTCAATGGGTTTTGATTTTCTTAATAGTGTTATATCGCGACTGAAGTAACGCATTTGAGTTGATGCGACTAGAGCGACCTTTCCCTTTTGCAATTCTAGGTGTTTCAATGTATCGCATTGGGGGTACTCTGAGGGAACTTCCTTAACTTTAATTTTAAGTCGCTCTGTGAACTTAAACATATAGGCGATTACTCTTAGGGCTCGGGAGAACGATGAGAATCGCTCAAGGATAACAGTATCCTCTACTGCTGTGTGAAAGGAGTCGATTTTTCCACTTTCTGGGACTAATGTATTGCGCTTGGGCGATTGTGGCCAAGAATCGGGAGATTATGTTAACCATCGGGGACCATTGGCTGTCGCCAAGTGGCTGATCCCACTAGGTCAAGTATTTGAGACGTTCGATTAGCAATGTACGTCTTTCATGCATGTGGTGTTTTTTCCAACCAGACTAGAACAATTTTAGAATCGGACCAAAGCTACAATCTATGTTTCTTCATGTTTAAATGGGTCTGTACCATGGAACCTAATTTTGCGAGTAGTAGCGCTCCACAGAGCTCCACAGAGCTCAAGCCGAGGTAGACTTAGTGTTTTTAAAGGAGTCACCTTTGCTTATGCTACTAATAAGTGGCTTGTGGTCGCCTATCGCTTTGTGTGCGCACATAGATAGTGGCACAGTATGCCTTCTCAGAGGTATCACAGAAGCCGTGTAGTTGGACTTTGTATTCGGGGAAATAGTTTACCCATCGTGGGACTTATATCTGAGAAATGTCTTCTAGATTGTTTGCGAACTGGGATAATTTTTCTAAGCGAGGAGGTTTCACTTGTTCGTTCCAGTCGGTTCCGTCTGGCCATAATTCTTGTATTAAGATTTTCACTTGTATCACAATTGGCGAAAGCTATCCTGCAGGGTCGAAAAGTTTTCCCAAAAAGGATAAAATTTGGCGTTTTGCTATGGCGGATAACGCTGATATATAGTCTGTAGTGTATGAAAACTGGTCAGATATCGCATTCCATTTGATCCCCAGAGTTTTTTGTTGTATTTTCCATTTGGTATATTTTTTAGACTGTTAGGGTGGTTCGCCGTTATCTTTTTCAACGGAAACCCTGCGGTTTTGAGGGCTTGTGTCACTTCTAATAGTGACTGGTATGCTTGTGGAAGACTGTGACTTCCAGACAGGATATCGTCTACATACGTTTGAGTTTTTAACAATTCGATTGCCAGAGGAAATTCGGACTTTGTGTTTTCCGACAACTAGTGGATCTTGAGGCATTGAAAACCACTCTGATTAGGTTGTTTTTTTATCTGGCTATACTACTGCGTGATGATTCAAGTAAAATGAGTAGAAATTGTCGTTTATGATTTTTATACTCTCGCAACCTGTTGCTACACCTAACAGTTGTTTGTACCACCTAAAACTAATCGAGTTAGATATAGGGTTACATATGTATATATAAATGATCAGGATGAAGAGACGAGTTGAAATCCGCGTGACTGTCTGTCCGTCCGTCCGTCCGTGCATGCTATAACTTGAGTGAAAATTGAGATATCTTTATAAAACTTGGTAGACATGTTTCTTGGTACCGTGAGTCGGTTGGTATTGCAGATGGGCGTAATCGGACCACTGCCACGCCCACAAAACGCCATTATTCAAAAACAAATAAATTGCCATAACTAAGCTCCACAATAAGATACAAGACTTTTATTTTACTGGTTCAGAAACTAGTCTACTTAGAAACCAACCAAAAATAGTATTTTGTAGTAGTATTTTCTGTGGTATGAGATCGCTGCCTAATAGAAGATCTATTTGAGCAGGAGTGTTGCAGTTGGGATCTGCTGGCTTTAGGTGTGAAACCTTTTGCCTGATATAGGCCCATTTTTCTCCCATTTATGTGATAGCTTGGAAACATGTTTGTTAATTGCGGCAAGGCAAGGGTTTTAATGCCTTTGAGCAGCATGGTGCTTCTGGGAAATTTTCGAGATTTCGCACTTCGGGATTTGCTGTTGCAACTAAACCCGTGGTTCTTTTCATATTTGCGCTGTTTGGGGGTGAGCTGGAAAAATTGTTATAATGACAGACAATTTCTACAAAGTCTTTTTGTTTTTACAAAATTATTGTGGTCAATAATATTCAATTTTTTGAATTTCTCGCAAGATTTGAGCTTATGGCCTCCTGTACACAGTCACCGTGACGTTTGTTTGTATTGTTCGGATGTGAACAATTGATTTTTAAAAACGCTTCTATTTAAATTATTGTTGATACTGGCTTTGGGTCTATTGAAGCTTCTATGTAGGTCGTGTTGAACAATTTTTGTTCTGACCATTTTTTTGTCTACCCTTTCTGCGATTTCGTATTGGGTAGTTAGGAAATCTTTCATTTGTTGCCACGTGGGGCATTTTCTTCGTGATGAGAGCGATTGCTCCCACGAAAGTAATGATTTTTCTCGTAATGTGGCGGTGCATATGCTTACAAGTATAAGGTCCCAGCTGTCTGTGGGAATATTCTGTGTCGATAAAACCGACAAACCAGTGGATTGAAGTTTGATAAATTCTTTACTTGTTTCCTTTTGAATTTTTGGTATTTTCATTAGTATCGATATTTGTTTATCAACCAAAATTCTTTCTTTTCCGTGTCTTGATTTAAGAGCTTCCCAAGCCTTGACGCCTGCTTGACCTTTTGTTTTGTATCCAATTACATTTTTTGGGTGGTTTATGTAAACGGCTGTAAATATGTCCCGGAAGGACGGCCATTGTGCATAACCACCATGAAAAATGTATGTGTCACATGCGGGCACCTTGAGATGGATGCTTGAACTTGCCTCTTGACTTTGTACTTATGGCAGCTCCACTCTCGGCTGTGGAGTAGGTGCAATTGCTTTAATTAATTTTAATTGATCCGAAATCATTGCTTTTGTTTCTTCAAACTGGTAAAAAGCAGTTCTCGTATTTGGCGTAAGTCGAGGATTTCAAATTTTCAGGTAGATTTGAGTCGTCAGATTCTACTATTACGTCATATGCACCTTGGAGACACCGAAAAAAAGATTATGTGTAATGTCCCGTCACTGCATCGAAGTAACGTAGCGAAAAAAAGGGCAAACGCGTTGAATCGTTGTTTCATCGAAAGAGGGTAGCGCACTGGATCGCGTTCGTATGGAATGAGGTGTATCTGCTGCGGAGACCATCCTTTTTGTTTGCTGAGGTGGTGTACAGGCGGGATGCTGTGGTGTGTTGTCCTGTGTGGTGTATTGTAGTGGGTTATACTAGGGTGCACCAGTTTTTCTGAGTAGAGTGGTGTGTATGTGTAGGGAAGGCTTATCTCATTTAAACATCCTGAACCTCCTAGGCGAACTTTTGCCTAGTATTACACGTAGTCGGCGTTGAAAACGGCTTTGGCTTAAAAACTTTCTTGGTATGTACTTAGGTGTGCTACCGGTAAGCAATTTTACAGATTTGTTGGAGTAGTTTTGTTAATCTACTCTCTACTTGAATTTGTTGTTGATTTTAAAACTCATGGTATTTGCTCGTTTTTTGGTTTTACATTTTACGGAGTAATTAGAAAGGACACAATCTCCAAGGTTTGGCGTTCTGTGGCCTCTTGTTGAGGTCCTTTAAATATTGTGTTTTCCATAAGCATCATTATGGATAGCGATTCCACGCCTGGCTCAGGTATGGCCAGAATGGATGCTCCTTTGAGACCTTTGAAGAGGGATATTGCGAGAGTGAGATTTGTGATTTTCGCTCACTTTTTTGAAGTAAGATTTACAACTTTTACTAGTGTTTCCCATAGACTACCCATATGATGAGCGCTTAGATAGTTGCGATAAGTTCGACCTTTGATTTTTTTAAGTCTGGGTGGGTCACTGTATCACATCGGAAGTATAGTGATACCATAACTTTATTTTTGAATTGTTATATATATAATTATGTAAAAGGGAGGTGTGAATTTTTCGACTATGCACTAATTTGGCAAGTAGTAGCGCGCCATATAGCACAAGATTTTTGAAGTCGGATTTTTATATCATTATTGCCAAGAGCCATCCTGCGGTGTCGAAAAGTTACATATTTGTGTTTTTAAAACTGATCTTGTCAGAAGGGACTTTGACTTTTTGTTCCTGCCAATTCGTGGAGTGTTGGAACATTGTAAATTTAGTAGTAGTCGTACGACGTACCGATCATTATCTGATCGAATAGTTGTGGCTTTGTAGAAGTCTTCACAATACTGACCTTCTTGGATTGTAACTGATATAGGGAAGAGTTTCTTAAATTCCCAACATTATCGGAATTGTGGATTAACATATTCTTTACAGTTTTCGTCAACTTGAATTATTGATGTGGAAACAGGTTCTGTAACTAGTCCACTTCGAATCCAACCAAATATAGTGTTTTGGGCTAGATAGGTGGTTGATATTTTTTCAACACATTCAAGTACTATTTGCGGTATAAGATCGCTGCCTATTAGAATATCTATTTGAGCGGGGGTGTTGCAGTTGAGATCTGCTAGCTTTAGGTGTGACACCTTTTGCCAATGCTTGCTACTTATATGATAGCTTGGAAGCATTTTAGTAAGTTGCGGTAGGACTATAGCTTCTGATACATTTCGCTTATCCGCTTGGGGGAAAGTTTGGGTAATGGGGCAGATTTTATTTGAGTTTCGGACTACTCTTCCGCCATTCCCGTAATTTCAAAATTTGATTGTTTTGCTGGCAGTTTTAGCCTATTTTGGACACTAGACTCTATGAAGGATCGTTGTGATCCTTGGTCTATTAAGGCTCTAACTTTGTAGAGTTCTCCTCGATGTTCGATGGAGATAACTGCTGTAGGTAGTAATAACCTGTTTTGAATTTCGCTGTGTAGCGTTTGTCTTTTTAATGCCTTTGAGCAGCATGGTGCTCCTTGGCAGTTTTCGGGATTTTGATTTTGGTGATTTGCTTTTGCAATTAAACCCGTGGTTCTTTTCTGATAAGCGCTGCTTTTGGGCGATATGGGACAGTTACTGTAATGAAGCATAGTGTGGTGTCTTTTATGACAATATAAGCAATTGAATTTGCTTTTGCAATTTATATATTTATGCGCATTGACAAGCAATTTGTACAAAGTCTTTTTGATCTGACAAAATTGTTTCTTTCGTGAATTTTTAATTTTTTAAACTTCTCGCTAGATTGTAGTTGTGCATAGTTCGCATGACGTATGTTTATTCTGTTCGGATGTGAACGATTGCGTTTTGTAAAAGCTTCTGTTTAATTTGTTTTTGCTACTAGCTGGAGGTCTATTGCAGCTTCTTTTTAGGTCGTGTTGAAAAATTTTTGTTTTAGTTAGTTTTTTATCTACCCTTTCAGCGATTTCATACTGGGTAGTTAAAAAATCTTTCATTTGTTGCCACGTTAGGCAAGTTTTTCGAGATGACAGCGATTGCAAACTTAAAAGTAACGATTTTTCTGGTAAAGCGGCGGTGCATATATTGTATTGGGTCCCAGCTGTCTGTGGGAATATTTTGTGTCGATAGAACCGATAAACAATAAGAAACAGTGGATAGTAGTCTAATATGTTCTTAACTTGTTTGTTTTTTAATCTTAGGTAAGTTTATTAGTGTCGCTACTTCTTTATCGACCAATATCCTTTCATTTTCATAGCTTGCCAAGCCAAATTGAAATTGTCGTCATTAAGTGCGAACTGTTTTACTATTGCGCCTTGGGATGGTTAATGTAAACGGCTGTAAACATGTCCCGGAAGGACGGGACCTTCATAACCTCCATAAAATGTTTCTGCGTCACATGCGGGCACCTTGAGTTGGATGCCTGAACTTACCATATGATTTTGTACTTGTGGCAGCTCTACTCTCGAATATAGAGTAGGTGCAATAGCTTTTATTAGCTTTAACTGATGGGAGATCATAGTTTTTGTAGCTTCGTACTGGTTTAAGCAGTTTTTGTATTTGGCGTAAGCTAATGATTTAAAATTTTGTGGTAGATCTGAATCGTCAGATTCTACTATGGCGTTATGAGCCGCTTGGAGACGTGTCCAAAAATTGTAGAGATTTTTAATTTTGATTTCAAGACTACTCTGAATCGGTGAAGATGAAAAATGGAGTAAAATGAATAGCTTCATTGACCAACTTTTCAGATACATCAACAGAATAATTTTTTGCAAACTTTTTTGCAGCGCCGTTGGATTGATATACTTTCATATCATGGAACTGCCACAGCAATGGGAACGATTTCTTTTGATTTCTTCTTGACTGCATTTTTCATCCACTTCTTCAAGTAGCTCGTTCCCGTGTTTGTTTTTTTTTCTTGCTGATCGCCTCGACATACTCTAAGTTCTCTGCAGTAATTTGGCATTCATTATAGATGGTTTGCCACTGGTTGCGCAGAAATTGCAAGTCGACAAGAAGTCTTTCTATATTTCTTACTTCAATGTCTATGGTGGCATTGATCTCTTGAAAAACCAATTTTTTTTATTGATTGACTGATGGATTTTAAATCATATGGAATCAATCAAAACGCACTCAAATTTGGTCATATATTTTCGAATTTCAGCTGACGATTTTCTGCCGTACGGTTAAATTTATTAACTTCTTTCAAAGTGTTTTTCAATTCGGGAAGATTTTTCACGATTCTGGTACACCACATTGTATTAGAAAGGCAGAGAAGTGAATTGGACATTTTGGATTTCAGAATTTCACAAGGTTGTGTACTGCTAAAGAAAACATTGAAAAATTTTTGAACGGCACCAAAAAAATTATTGCTCGAGGACAGCATTCTGTCGAGTCCACTCCAGCCAAATTCAGCGTGTCGGCACCACAGAGTGAAAAAACTGCATACTTATTTTTGCGTTGGATGTGATTTTGCACTCCTTCATATTCACTGCTCATATTGCTACCATTATCATAGCAATCTTCTAATGGATTGTTGTAATTTTTCAATGTTTTCCAAATTAAACCGGCAATAGCGGCTTTGCAGTCTACAAAAGCGAGATACGTTCCTTTATCGATAATCACAACGTTTAAATAAATGTTCGGATTAATCACCGATCAAAAGCATTTTAATTTTTAACTATTCACTTAATTTTTTTGAAAAATACGGGCCCCTTCGAGAACTTCAAGCTCGAGGGGAAACCATACCTCCACACTGCAACTCAATAGTAACTGTAAACAAAAGTGTATCTTTTAACCTTGTTTCTGATTAAAAGGGCTATTTTGACTCTTCAAAAACTATGGACAGTTGCAGCTCCAATCAAGGAGATAAACATAACTCATAGCCAATGGCTTGGGCAATTGTACACAAATTTGATGAACTTGATTAAACTAACGAATATACCTAATCATGCATAATTAATCAGTAAATAAAAAGAAAGGCATGTTTTCCAGCATAGAAAAGTTTAACATATAAGTTAATAATGATATTTGCACATATTATATATGACTTAAAATTATTTATATATCATTAGTAGCTGAAACTTACTGCAGCCGATTGTGTTTCCTTTATAAGAGATGGGGTAACAGAATTATTATTAAAGTTGGTCATCAAAGCGGATGTAATTGGACGATCAGAAAACAGTTTGTATTTTGAAAAATGACTAGTGTTTTCTACACATTCTGTATTACCGCCATCTTTATCAGAATCCTTTTTATATGCTTTACTACTGATAATGGAATTATCCAGTGGTTTATTTTCTGCAAAATTAAATTCTGGAGAGCAGTAGTTATCAGAAACATCCGTCAAGCCACGTATCTGCAGCATATGTGCAGTTTTTAAAAAATCTTGTAATTGATCTTGTCTTATATTTACTTCTCCATTGTACATGAAACTGAAACAAAAAAAAAAACACAAATATTACTTAATTATTATTATAGTTTAGGAATTATAATATTATTATAAGAAGAAAATGGTATATTTAATACTCACTTTAGGAAAATAAACATGTATAAATAATTGCAAAAACCTGAAAATTAAATTTGTTAATTATTCGCAGATATTATAATTTCTAGAATGGATGGGATTTTTGTGTACATTAGTCAAGCCTTAACATTTTCATAAACTATTACTTGTGGTGAAGTCAACTAATCTTTTACAACAAACAGTATGTATGTATATCATATCTCAATGTTTTCAATAAACAGTGTTTAACAACTGTACGAGTATGGCAGTGTTTGGTTCCAGTGGAGCCTATGTTGTAATCCTATGTCAAATTAATATTACAAGATTTGATACAAGATACTTGTAGATACGCCATAAATTCTAAAAATTACAATGCTGGAAAATACTTATCTGATGCAGATTAATTTTTCTATATAAACAGCTCTATATTTGCGTTTGTTCTTAGAAAAATGGAAAAACTTTAATTGCAGAAATCTGACTATAAGTAATTATCTTAAACCACTTTTGAATCATCATGACTCTGGAATTTATTGCTCGTGGCGCATTTATTCAATGAGTTTTCGAACTTTTAATAGTTTTCAACCTAACTGTTATATTCGGAGCGGGCCTGGTTATTACCTGATTATACCCATTTTCTCATTGTATAAAGCAGTGCTAAAAACTTCTTCTGAGCTTATGTGGTTGAGTTAGCTTCAGCGGTTTGGAAGATATGTACATTAAACCATTTACGGGGCGAGGCCACCCCCTCTTTAAAAAAATGTATAGCCCAAAGGTGTCCGTCGCTATTGTGATCTCCTCTACAAAATTACAGTTTTGTATCTAAATTTAGTGCTTTGTTAAAGAACTTTATATGTTTTCATTTAACGGCACTTTCGAGGCGTGGCAATGAACCCATTCTGCCCACCGGCAATACCGACCACCACCTTAGGCGCCAAGGAACACGTTAACGAAGTTCCATCAAGATATCTACATTTTTACTCAGGTTATCACTTGCACGGACGGACGGATAGACAGACAGTCATTCGGAATTCAACTATTCTCGTCATTCCGATTATTTATATGTATATACAGTACCCCGCCAACCCATTAGAAACATGGTAAATATATACAACAATTTACGAATAACGTACTGGGGAAGGTTGCTAGGCGAATAATTTGAATTTTTTTTACTGCTGAAGCATTAAGTAGGTTGTGCACTACATATTACTCCGAGCCAAATATAAAAAAAATATCCCGTTGTAATTAGCGGGACTTAAATACGAAATCACGTTGAAATGTTAACTTCACTTGTGGTTTAGCACTTGTGATTTCTGGTTCATCAGAGATAAATTGTGTGGCGCAGTGGAAGAAATCGAATTTTTTCATATCATTAATTATTATTTCGTAGATTCCAGAGTATTATTTGTTAGGTAAGTATTTTTTGGAATTTTTCTGAAGCTTTACAATATAAGCAATGAAAAATATACTTTTTTGGAAATGGAAAAAAAGTCGGACATTTCAAACGAAACCCTATAGAGAAATAGGATAAAATTGAAGTGAATGCAGCTACTGTTACACGGGTAGCGAAAATTGTGCACACGTTCAAAAAAGGAGCTGTTGCTCGCTCAAGTAAGCGGCAAAATGCTGCCCAAAATAGGAAAATGTTTGCGCGCATTCGACGTAAAGTAGTGAGGCTCGCTCTAGAAACGCGTATTAAACCAGCTAGAGAAATTACAAAGGAGCTAAATTATGCCCATGTTAAAATATCGCATAAAACAGTTGAACGCATCTTATTAGAAAATAACCTTAAATGCCGCCATCCAGACAAGAAACCAAAATTGACCAAGTGAATGAAAAATCAACGGGTAATATGAGCTAGGCTCCATCAGAACTACACATAGGTAGATTGGAACAAGGTAAACATAAAAAGTTATGAACTTCCCCCGAAAGTCCCCCATTCAAAGTTAACCTGTTATTTAACATGATTTTCTTCTTAACAAAGATTATCTTCAGCGACGAGTGCCGGCTAGAAGAAGTGACAGAAGCCATTCAATTTGTGCGCGTAGACCGTGTGAACGTTATGCGGAGAAATGCAGCTGCTAGCGAGCAGTACATCAATGTACTTCGACGTGTTTTTGTACCATATTTGGCAAAATTGAGCCCTCCAGCAGCTCAATACACATTTATGCACCATGAGGCGCCAATTTTAGCCATTTTTTCGGTGAGGAAAGGCAGCCAAATACATTCAGGTGTTTGTATTAAAAAATGATACGAAAGAATTCAAATTTCATTATTCGACGAAAGGGTGAAATGATTACAATCAAATGTGGTATCTTATTAATTAATATTGAAGGTCATAGGCTACTATATTTTACTTCGCATTAAGAAAAAAGTCATCCTTAAATTAAAAAAATGAGATATAAAAATAAAAGGTTAAATTTAATATATAGTGTTAATGTGGAAAACGTCAACTAAAGGATCGAAATTCTTTATTTTAGCAATTCATTCGTGCTACATATCATCGTAGTAGCCGCTGTACTCGGTATATACAAATTACACGTGGTTTTCAACATTCGTTCGAGACCTTCTTCTTATCAACTTCTGTCGAAGTTACCCACAGTTCGTCCACTATTGCAGATCTGTCTTTGCTACATCTACAACAACATCTTCATATTCTCCATTGCTCAGGTACTCGTATATATATATTTTTTTGTGCCTTCAAATGCCTACTAACAATAAAGCCAATGTGCCTAACATGGCTGATGAGGAACAATAAACTTTGTCCTCGGAAATTCAAACGCGTTCAACGATTATTAACTTCTTCGTTCAACCTACATAGTATGAAGCAACGAATTACTTGTGAAGAAGTCGATACTGATTCGCATGTTCTCGAATGTTGATTGCAAATTGTTGAGTCCTATTTTCAACATATTGGCGACGTCCCGCACAATATTAAAGCTCTTGCTCCGTTAGACAAATAGAGAGCAAAAGTTGAAGAAACGTACATTTCAACAAAATCAGAAATATTTTCGTTAATTAACTCTAGAAAAGGCCTTCACTTAAATTTCCAAAATTTGACGGCAAATATGTGGAATATAAACGCTTTTTCCGCACCTTTTGCACGATGACCCAACAATGGCAAAGGTGGACAAATTTAATTATCTTTTAAACTGTGTTTCAAGACCAGCCCATAGCGTAATCGAACCCTTTCAGGTAACCGAAGAAAACTACCCGAAGGCTATACAGCGGATCAAAGAACGGTAAGACAATAATGAATTCATTTTTCAAGATCACATTATATCGCTTTTTAATGTTCCAGTCGTGAAAAGATCTGACGCAGGAAGTCTACGTAATATCATCGACACTGTTGCAGCGCTACGAGGTGCGATACTCTCGTTGGGCTCAGAAAGCCACATAATGAATTCAATGTTAATTCATATCGTCTTAATTGAAATTGATTCTGATTCAAAATTGACATACAATACAAAGTATTAGAAACTTGTCAAACGGGGAAAACTTAATGGTAACACAGTGGGATTGTAAGCTACTCGGTAAGAAAAATTATTAATTCGTTAACGCGTTGTGAAATTGTATATTGTACATTGCAATAATGCAGAACATAGCCTAAGCAATTGTCCTTCATTTCTACAGTTATCAGCTAAGATGCGTTTTTATTGGGAGAAGCAATATGCTATTGCTATTGCATCAATTGCTTACGCAAAGAACACAGTATCTAAATGCCCATTGAAATGTCGTTGCCGTATATGTCTTCAATCACACCACTTTCGTCTGCATTTCGCCACCGTTGGAGCTACAAATTACCCCATTGTACAAAAGTTAGAACCTAAAGGAAAAGAACAAACACCTATGCCGTATACTTCGTCGAATCCATCGCATCATTCACCAACCAATCCATCAGTTTCACTCATCGCATGCACACGTAAAAGTGCGATAATACCAACAGCCTTAATTTACATACAGGATAAATTTGGAGTGATGTAGCCAGCTCGTAAGTTATTGGATTCATGTTCCGAATTAAATCACCAAGGAAACAGCGAAGCGGTTGCAGCTTAAAATGTTTTTCTCACATCATGAAGTATTAGGTATTTCAGATACTCATTCTAATTCAAAGTATGCAGAAAATGCGAAAATCAAATCTCGTATTGCAGATTATACTTGTATATCGCAATTTATCAACACTTCTCAATAGGATATTCCTGAAAACATTCAGCTTGCGGATCCCTACTTCTACAAACCGCAACGTATAGATTTATTGCTTAATGCAGAAATATTTTTTGAAAGACTTCAAAAAGGCACAATCCCTCTTGAAAAATCAAATCAAGTTGGATTGTTAGTGGTAATTTTTAAACGCCACCCGCCCATCCATTCGGAATGTTATTTTGTACAAAATTCAAATAAATCGAACATCGCTTCGATTCCTCAACGTTTTTGGGAAATTGAAAATTTTACTAAAACAACAACATTTCATTCAAAACGTTCAAGTGAAGAGTGATGGACGTATACAAGTTCGGTTCCGATTTAAGGTTTAGTCTACAATATTACGCAACTCTTTCTACAATGCCAGAAAGACATTTCATAGAAGAATACATTGAGCTTGGGCACATGGTTGCCATAAAAAACTTTGATTTAAATACAATAGTTCTCACTTTATAACTCCACATCATTGTATACTCCGTCCACAAAGTTCTACGACCAAGCTTCGGGTTATATTCGATGCCTCTGCGCGCCCTACTTCTGATTGCTCATTAAATGAAATACTTATGGTTGGAGCAACAATTCAACCAGAACTAATGATGACATTATTGTCATATCGCTTGTATCCAAAAATGTATCGGAAATTTTAGATTGACGAACAAGATCAACGATATCAACTTATTTTATGAAGAAGCGAAGTCAATAAAGATGCCTTTCCACTAGCATCGTCTCCTATTTGTGAAAGGTTTTATGTTGACGATTTTTTAACTGGTGCAGAAAGCATAGACAATTTACAAAAATTAAAAATTAAAATTATAGAAGTTCCTCGTTCTCTATATTTTTCATTAGATTCAAAACACACAAAAGCTACAAACTGCACACAATCTGCAATATGTGGATTCATCAAATTACAAGGCCACAAAAGTACTTACTTACCACAAAATTATCTTTTCTATAACTTGATCGCGAACATCAGTCGCCATATCGCTTATCCTGCGTTGAATGGTCACAGAGAAGTAAACTTTTAAGTTTCTTTACCTCTTGTTTGCCAAACATAATTTCTGCCATATCTAAAGCCTCTGGAAAAATCAAATTTTTGTCAATATCGTGAGGTTTTCCAGCTTTAACCACACGAAGCGCTACTCGATAACTACACAGAAACGCTTTACGTTGGACATTTGTTCTATGGCATGATGTTAAAGAGCTTTTAATTTTCTGTCAAAATAATCCACGGGTTTATTTTTCTCATTTGGATGTTTTGTATTCAATGTGGCATAATAATTTTGATGGCTTCATGCTTTCTCTTGATAACAGTTCAAAGCAAATAACGCATTGTGGTTTATTGCCAAACACATTATATCCGAATTTTAAATAATCTTCATCGTAAAGCCGTTTTTTCTTTGATTTAGTTTCATCGCTCCCACCAGAAGCTGACGGTTCTGTTGGTCTTTTTCAAAATATATCCATTTTGAAACTATAATCACTTCGCGTAAAAACAATGCTGGTCCTTGACCAACAATAACCGACTGACGAGACGTTTGCAAGTTCTGCACACGCGTTCGCCGCTTCACATCCCATGTCGCCCCCGCAACCCTCATTGCCTCTCGCTCGCACATTCACTCCACCCGCATTCGCGCGCCGCGCATTTAAAGGTCGGCGGCATCAGCATCAGCTGTACGTTACATCTGTGTGAATTGCGCTATCAATATTATCGAACACGTATTCAGTGTACAAAAATGTATTTTACGTACTTAATTATATATTTTTCCTGAATCCTAGTTAACATAATAACGGTACTTTTGTAGGGTATAAGTTTAATCTTTGTGGCGTATTAAAACTCATATCTAAACAAAAGTAAAGGTTAGATGGGTCGCGAAAAACACAGGAACTAATACAAGCTTTGAAAAATTGTATTAATCCGATTGTAGTTAATTGTTTACTATATGAACTTCCAATGATTGTAAAAATTTAAAATAGAATTCTTACTGAGTTCCCGGCCGTTAAAATTCGGCATACAAAAAACAAGTCATAGATATCTTCGAGGATATCAACGAGGACAACCAAAAAGAAACTTTAAAAATATTATATAACATAACAGAGCTCATCGCTTATAACGTGAGAACATTCAATAAGTTTTAGAAAACTACTATTTTCCATGCATACGCCAAAACGTAAAAGCAAAGTATCAAGTTGCTGAATTTGTAGAGAGGCCAAATACCAAAGGCATCCATCAAATCCAGGAATTGGTGAAAGTCCTATTCCAACATATCCTGGAGAAATTCTCCATGTGGATATCTACTCTACTGATAAAACCCATTTTCTCAGTTCGTTAGATAGATTTCCTAAGTTATAGCCAATAAAATCAACAGCTATAGTTGATATAAAAGAGCCTATGAACTTCTTAATTTTTATAAAAACACCAAAACTTAAGTTTGCGAGAATGAAAGATCACTAAATTCTGAAACAATTAAGGTAATACTGAAAAATCATTTTGGAATAAAAATTTACACGACATCTCTTACTCCAAGTACTACCAATGTTCAAATTGAAAGATTTCACATTACTCTTACGGAAATAGAGCGCTGCGAAAAATACTCCTTGTGACAACTAAATACAATCGAACAATTCACTCAGTCACTATAAAAAAGACCGATAGACATAATTCATTCAATTTCAGAAGAGCGTAGAAATAAAATACGAGGTAACTTAATACTTACTCAAAAAACAGACCCTCAATGACATAATGCAAACCGACAAAAGCGACAGTATAACCAAGGAGATAGAGTTTTTGTTAGAACCAACAAGAGAATAGGGAACAAATTTTCAAAGCTTTGTGTTGAGAAAATAGTGCAAAAATATCTAAACACATTTGAAATGTTTTGTAATTAAATACCCCAAAATAGCTAGATTTTGCAATAATATACAGTTGCTACCTGTGATTCATGATGGAAAATTAGTCTCTCTGGAAAAAGTCGTTGTATCCAAATATAGTGATGGAAAAGTACGCACAGTTGTGCATTTTTCCGCCCTTCTAACGGTAGTCGGCACTTTGCGCATAATCGACTACTTTTTGGCATTATTTGATACATTCTCGTATGTATGTATATCTAAAATCTCTTCGTAGTAAAATCTTTATTTCCGACTTAAAAAATGCGATATTTTTAAAATTATACAGTATGACAGCTCATACAAAATTTTTAATAATAGTGAAGGTAACTTCGAGATGATGAAAAAAATTAGTTGAAAAATATTAAAGCGGGAAGTGCGTATTTTTAGCACGTTGGATAGGTAAATTTCGAATAGTGGGCCTGTCTACAATGCACGTATTATTTTTATACTCTTGCAACATGTTGCTACAGAGTACTACGCCTACTTCCCATCTAACACAATTTTTAATTCCATCTAATTCTTTCTGAATGTATCGGGAGAGAATCCTTCTCTGATAATAGTATGCCTGCATGGCAAAAATTAGTTAAATCGGATCAAATAATTTCCGTAGCCCCATATACCTAATATAAAAATTTTAGAACAGCCATTTGGCTTAGTATCGTATATATCGGTCAAAATCTACAATAACATATCTTAGCAATAGTAACTGCACGTATAATATTGAATATACTACAGTTTTATGCCAAAAATATGTTAAATTGGTCGGGGAATCACTCCAACTCCCATATACTACAAATAGTGATGCTATATTTTATTCTAACAAACCTTATGCCGAATATTTCGGTGAGTGAAATTGATTGAAAATATGTAGTATATTTGATCAATGTCAAAAGTTAGTGTAATCGGCTCAGACCCTTTCTGCCCTATATAGTGATTTCCGACCTTCCGATTACCACCTATCTTTAAGCCGTTCAGGTTGGTTAAAATGTGGGACATTTTAATGATATTCAAACAAAATATCTTACATATTAATTAATATATACGGTATAAAGCCAACGTAACGTTTGAAAATATTTTATTAGGTATATGGGATATAGGAGTAGTATTGACCTGATTTTATCTTTTTGACACTACCACACATTATTAAATGAGTTAAATGAATGAGTTTCATTAAGATACCTCACATGTCATGATCAATATTGTTAGTTATAGTTGGCATCACTGAAAGAGCAAACCAAATACCAAGTATATGTACATAATTTACTTTCTTATGTATTACAACTGTTACTCTATACTATTGTTATTTTTACATACTAAGTACAGTTTTTTGTTCACTTCAATAAAACATTTTGTATCGAACGGACGTCTTTGAATTAAATATTCTAACAAAGGTTATGGGCCCAGACCCAACACGTGTTTCGATATAGTCGCTTCAGTCAGAAAAAAATCGGTCGATATAATTAATATCGTGTATTTTTTATGTAATTGTTTTATTGAAAATAAAAATGAGCGGATCGGTTTTAAATATTGAAAAATTAAATGGTGAAAATTATGAGAGCTGGGCTATGCAAATGAAAAGCCTCTTAATTACCATGGATTATTGGGAAACAGTCATGTCACCTGTACCAGAGGATACATCTGGAGAAGTTAAGATTAAGTGGTTGGCAAACGATCAAAAAGCGCTGGCAACTATTACGTTGTGTTTGAAACCGTCGGAACTCATTCATGTGAAAAATTGTGTACATGCTGCAGAAGCATGGATTAAGTTGAAAGAAATATATCGTGCAAAAACACCATCAAGAAAAGTTAATTTATTTAAAAGTCTGTTTCGATTCCAAATTAAAAATGACGAAAAAATGGCAGTTCAAATTAATAATTTTTGTAGCATCGCGGAAAGTCTGAAAGAAATGGACATTGCTGTACCAGAGGATCTCCTATGTGTTTTGTTGTTGTGCAGTTTGCCAGACGATTTGGAGAGCTTTGTTGTTGCTATTGAAAGTCGCGATGATTTACCTTCATTAGGTCAACTCAAGGTGAAAATATTGGAAGAGGAGCAGCGTCGAGGAAGTCGGGTAGACAGCAGTGGAGCTGAAAAAGTGTTTGCAGCGAAAATAGAAAAAAAGAGAAGCGAGAACGCTGGAAGGTCAAACTACACCGGTGACAGCGGCAACAACTTAAGCATCAGCAGCAGTACGAGCGGTAATTACAACGGTAGAAACAATGCAATTCGAAAGAGAAACATTCAATGCTATGCATGTGGGCGGCGCGGTCATATTAGGTCAGAATGCAACAGTAGATCTGCACAAGCAAAAGTAATGAGTGTATTTGGAATAAAATTTAGCACAAACAAAAACGTGTGGATTTT